AGAACCATGAATTAATTCACAACTATGACTTTTGTGTACATGAAACTGTATATTTCTTTCACCATACTATTAACCAACACAGACCTTCGGTCAAGGCTTGTTGGCAGTGATGGATGTGTGATGGTGAAAGTGACAAATAAGCTGAGTGAACTGTGCAGCAAAGTTGAGAGACAATGGAGGATTCCTTTAGAGCTTAATTATCACTCTTAAGGGTGGCAAAGTTGTAATAGAGGATAACCTGTATCTCTTAGTTATTATGTAAATGAAGCTTTTGAGGTTCAACTCCTAGTTTTCATTAAACCTCGTGAGTTGCACATCTCTTGAGGAAGTTAAAAACTTGTGGGGTTAGAATAACAACAGTAGTAATATTTGTTGAGTCTGTTACTATGTTTTATCTTTACAATTCTATTTTAGTCTAATTAGGATATTATGTGATATTACCTATGATTTAAAATGATTTTATATATAGTTAATAGTTATAAATTACTCATCAAATTAATGGTTGAGTTAATATTAACCATTTATAAGAAAAGGTTTGTATTATTTGTATTTTAATATAAATAAGTGTATAGGATTGTAATAATTCATTTAAGTAGAAGAGCAAAAACGATTCTTAGAAAGCATTGCGAGAAATAAATAATTCATTGAGAATTATTTTTTGTAATTTTGTTCTTTTCTTAATAATAAAGATTCTACTTAGTGTCAACTATCTTTTGTATAATTATATTTTTACATCAAATACGATTTTACTATAACAAGTCAGTATCAGAGTTATGGCATCTGTGAATTGATGTTAAAAAATTTACTGACAAAAATAACTTCAATATGTGGCAAGTGAAGATGCTCACTCTCCTCACACAACAAGAATCTGAGTTGGTATTGGAAGGAGAAACAAAGTTGCCAATTGATCTTACATCTCCACAAAAGAATGCGATAATGAAAAAGGTCCATAACATAATATTGTTATCATTAGGTGATGAAGTTTTGGAAGAAGTTTTTGGAGTAAAGATTGTCGACAAGCTTTGGGCAAAGTTTGAAAGTCGGTATATGACAAAGCCTCTCCATAATTGTCTTTGCTTGAAGAAACAATTATATACCATGCAAATGCATGAAGATGAATCCATCATATCGATAATTTCAATCAAGTTATTCTTAATTTAAAAAATATTGATGTTGTAATTGATGATGAGGATCAGGTTGTTTTTCTCCTTAGTTATTTGCCAAGAGCTTATGAAAATTTTATAGACAATAATTTTTTGTACAAGTTCACTGATGATGGAGGTAGTTAAAACGACCTTACAATCTTGGGAATTAAAAATGTTATTATTGATTCATATAGTGGGAGCAACTCAGGTGAAGGTCTGATGGTAATAGGAAAAACAAAGAAAATGAAGAGTTTCTAAAGGAGGTGGTCAAAATCACGTAACAAAAATAAGAACAATAATAGATTCCATAACTATCAAGAGAAGGGAATTGGAAGAGAAATTCTCCAGAACTTAAGAAAGATAGAGCAAGTACTTTAGAGTATGGTGGAACAATTGTGGCCTCGAAAAAATTGAATGGTGGAAATGATCTCTTTATCTCATATAATGTAAATGATGATGATTGGATTATTGATTTAGCATGTACCTTTCACATGACTCCTAACAGAGACTGGTTTGTCATGTTTAAAGACATTGACAATGGCAAAGTTCTAATGGGGAAGAATGGTGATTGTAGTATAGCTTGTAAAGGTACAATGCAAATTAGAATGGTTGATGGTAATGTGAAAACATTAACCGATGATATGTTCCTGAACTCCAAAAGAATTTAATTTCTTTGAGCATTTTAGACTCTCTTGGTTGTTCATTTCGAGTTGAAGGAGGAGTCTTGAGAGTTTCTAGATGTGCCTTGATAGTTATGAAAGGAAGGTTGAAAAATGGACTATATATCTTGCAAGGCAACACAGTTGTAGGTGTAGTTGCGGTTTCTTCTATGACCAAACTTTTTTACGACATATGAGGTTAGGCCATATGAGTGAGCATGGAATGGATGAATTTAGCAAGAGAAGTTTGCTTGGTGGACAAAGAATTGGGAAGCTAGATTTTTCTAAGCATTGTGTTTACAGAAAACAATAGTGTAAAGTTTAGCACTAGAGTTAACAAAACATAAGGGACTCTTGATTATATCCATTTAGACCTATAGGGTCTGTCAAACTTTCCTTCTTAAGGTGGAGCAAGGTACCTATTAACTTTTATTGATAATTATTCATGAAAAGTTTGGATTTATGTCTTAAAACAAAAGAGTGGTGTATTCCTCAAGTTCAAGTAGTGGAAAAACAAATGGAAAAGAAGGTCAAAAGACTTTGGACAAATAATGGGTTAGAATTTTGCAATAAGGAGTTCAATGAGTTTTGTGCAAATGAAGGAATAACTCATCATAGAATTGAGACACACACCACAACAAAATGGTGTCACATAACGAATGAACAGGACATCGCTTGAGAAAGCTTGTTACATGCTCTCAAATGCAGGTTTGCATAAGCAATTTTGGGTGGAGGAAATTAATACTACATGTTATTTGGTGAATAGGTCTCCTTCAACAACTATTGTATGCAAGACTCTAGAAGAAGTGGTCAAGCTCTATGACAAATTATTCAATTTTGCGTGTATTTAGGTGTCTAACTTATGCTCGTGTTAATGAAGGAAAGTTGGAATCAAAAGGTAAGAAATGCATAGTTTTGGGTTATCAAGATGGTGTAAAAGGGTATAGGTTATGGGACCCTAAAAAATAAAAACTCATGATTAGTAGAGACGTGACTTTTTGATGAGACAACCATGCTTAACTCAAAGACCACATGAGGACCATGATTATAAAGTTGAATTTCATGGTGCTAGCAAAAAGATGGAGCTTAAAACTAAAACTCTTAAACAAAGACCAGAGGAGACACAAAATGAAGTCACAATAATAGAGTTTAAGTATATATTGGCTAAAGATAGGCTAAGAAGACAGACTAGACCACCTCAAAGGTATGAGGGTTTTGTCACTTTTACAATTATTATGGCAAAAAACATATTGATGAACGAGAACCTAATTCATTCCATGAGGCAATTAATTGTGATGAAGCGTCACAATGGATTGGTGCCATGAAAGAAGAGCTTGAATTCCTTCACAAGAATCAGACTTGGAAACTTGTTGATAAACCAGCTAATCAAAAGATTATAGGTTGTAAGTGAATATTCAACAAGAAAGATGGAATAAGGTTCAAAGCAAGACTTATTATAAAAGGATTTACACAAAGAGAAGGTATTGACTTTAATGAAGTTCTTTTCCTTATTGTGTAGTATAGTTCTATTCAAGGGCTCCTTGCTTTGGTGTCCTTTCATGACTTATATTAGAGCAATTAAATGTGAAGTCAACCTTTCTCCGTGGTGATTTGGAGGAAAGGATTTATATGCAACAACCATAAGGGTTTGTCATACCATGAAAAGAAAACCACGTGTGTTTGTTGAAGAAGTTTCTATATAGGTTGAAACAGTCACCCAATAATGCTACAAAAACGGTGAAGAAAGCCTTATGGCCTAAAGGTCTTGTTGGTGATCTTGGCATAAGTTAGAAGGGCGTTATGATGTTTTGTGATAGTCAAAGCACAATTTACTTAACAAGGAACCAAATGTATCACAAGAGGACAAACATATTGACGTCATAATCCATTTCATTTATGATGTCACAATACAAGGTGATGTGTTGGTAGAAAAGATTATTACTTCTGATAATCCAGCAAACATGATGACAAAAGTTCTTCCATCAATAAAGTTTAAACATTGTTTGGACTTAGTTGAAGTTACAAATGTTGTTTGACATTAGAAGTGGGTGGAACAACACAGAGGAATGATGAAAGTTATATGACATATGGAATTTAAGCCAAGGTGGAGATTTATTACACGTGGCTTGAAATGATTCCATATATAGTTAATAGTTATAAATCATGCAACAAATTAATGATTTAGTTAATATGGGCCATTTATAACAAGAGACTTGTGTTATTTGTATTCTAATATAAATAAGTGTGTAGGATTGTAATAATTTATTTAAGTAGAAGAGTGAATACAATCCTTAAAGAGCATTATGAGAGATAAATAATAATTTGAGAATTCTTCTATGTAATTTTGTTCTTTTCTTAATAATAGAGATTCTTCTTAATGACAACTATCTTTCATATAATTATATCTCTAAATCAAATACGATACTTAAACAAATTTTGGAGAAATGAACATCCAAGCAAATATCGGATTCAATAAAGAAAAAGTTTGAAGGAAATGCTAGAGCGAAGCGTTCGACCCTACACGCACTAAGGAGAGAGTTTGAAGTTCTGGAGATGAAAGTTGGTGAAACCATAACTAAGTACTTTACTCAAGTTATGGGCATAACCAACAAAATGTGGAGTAGCGAAGAAGACATGAAGATAGTCACTATCATGGAGAAAGTCCTTAGAACTTTAACTGAGAAGTTCAATTATGTTGCTGTCTCAATTAAGAAATCTAAGGACATTGATAAACTTAGTATATGTGTCATGAGTCCAAGTGTAAAATAAGTCCTACATCGATCAGAGTTAAGCTTCTTGAGTAATATATAAATAAGAATGACTCACCTAAATAATACCTTAAGTTTTTGGGTTACGATATAGTGTCAAACTTACTTGTATAATTTATTCACTATCCATTGATGAAGTGCTCCTCATTGTTTAACTCTCCAACTCAATAGTATTATACAATAATTAATGACATTTGATTTTGTAGCAGTAATGTAGTATTTAGTTTTATGAAGATTTATATTGTAATACGTGGCACTTGGTTTGGTTTTAACTCTAGATAATCAACACATTTATTTATTAAGGCATGTTTAATACAATTTTTCCACACAAGTGAAACTTAAAATCATATGAAACAAAAACCAATGGGGCATAGAAGTAAAAGGATGAATCCACTTCATGTTATGAAACGATGGAATTGGAAATTCAATCAAAAGAATAGTAGAATACAAATTCACGTTAAACATATACAAGATATCATTTATTTAAGGTTAAAAAAACCTTTCCTTTTGTGGAATAAATATCATTACAACATTTTCACCTAAAAGTGTTCACATTTGTATAAGCCTCGGCTTTTAATTCGCACTTCAATTTTCCTCTGCCAACTGGCAGCCGTCATGCCCTCTGATTTGTCCTCAATCACAGTATTTATAGTTAAATTTGCCTTCAAAAGTTTGAACTTGATACCGTTGTTCAAATGGTAGCCAGAAAAGTCTCATCCGTGCAAAATGAACTACATAATCTTCGTGTCTACTCATCTATAAAAGCAAGTCTACATAAGCATCCAGTCCTTGTTTGACAAGGCACTTCTTCAGCTTGTATAGCGCTCGGATCTCCAATTGACGAACCCTTTCCTTAGACAAGCCAAATATGTCTCCAATTTCTGATAAAGATTTCTGTTCACCATCCTCAAAACCATATCTTAGCCGGATTATTTTCCTTTCTTTGGGGCGCAGGGTACTTAAGACATTGAGAACATGTCGCCTCATAAGCTGTTTTTCAACAGTCACGTCTGTGGCCTCAGTTGTGGGATCTGCAGTAATCTCCTGCAATTATAAGAAAAAAATTATTAACATTGTTGTGTGTGGAGCATTTGTAATGTTATGTTGCCTTAAAAAAGTAGAGGATCAATTTTGATCACATTAGACATCCACTAACATCAAGAGACCAACTGAACAAAAATTTACAACAAAGCTACATGGCAAATTAGCAATAACATAAAAATTCAGAGCTGGAATCATATTGCGGGATTGCAACAGCAGCTGATACAAATGCAAAACAAATATAACAGAATAAGATGAATAGCCCATTTCAATAATATAACAGAATTTTAGACTGCCAATTGTCTGATTGTCTCCACAAGTTAACAAAATCTCACATGCCAGAAAGGAGGTATTGGCACATGAAAATTTTAATGACCTTGTGTTGGTAGTGAATTAAACTGAATAATGTAGATAGTGAATTGAGTCTGATCACTACTACTGAAATATAATTAATCATTTCGTTAAGGTAGTATGCTATGGTTCCCTAGCTAATCTCATACGGAAATGAAATGGTATGATCCTAGTCCAATTTACCAGCTCCTCCAAGCGCTAACATACTTTAGGCTGCTGGTTCCCTTTCATCACGCACAGAAGAAAGCAATTACCGAGCAAAATTCAATATTCTTGCATTAGACTATTCCCAATTTGATTTTACAGTCATCAGCATAAGCAAAACCCTCCATACAAACACTCACCAAACTAAAATAGGAAGCTGAATAACATCATAAGCCATTGTAAATCTCTTTTGTGTAAACATTCTACATATTGATGCAACACTTGTTTTTCAGTTTCATATTATAGATCTAAGAAATTGCATCATATCAAGGGAAAAATCACATTGATTAGCTAGCATGCAATACCTGGAAAGTTGTATTTTGGTCAGCCCACACAGTTTGCTGCATAGAAATTGGAATTCTTGCAGAAAATAGTAATTTGTCAATCTTTTCTACTGTAATTCCTACCCTTCTTGCTAATTCTTCTTTAGTTGGGTGAAGATTTCCTTCTTGAATGTACAATTTCTTTGCCTCCATTACCTTGCCCAATAGGATATAAACCTTATCCTGGAAATAACACAATTCTGTGTTACAGAAGTAGAATTGATGCTTTCTTTGTAAATAGCAAAGATACTATAAAAAATATCAATGCAATCCGCATCATCATATTTGTTCCTTGTCATCAACAACAAAATAGTATTTCATGAACACTGACACTTCTAAAGGGTGAAGCTTAAATTTAGACAACTAAATTTACCGGCAGACGGATTGTCCTGGAATGTCTATACACTGCCTTCCTTATTGCTTGCCTTATCCACCAGAATGCATAATTTCCGAATCGACAGCCAGCTATGGGATTGAATTTTTCAACACTCTTCATAAGACCCACACTTCCCTCCTGCAACAGCACCAGAAAAGAAATGTAAAAGATAGTGAGATACAGCTGCTAAATGGACTTGACGAAGAGTGAAGACAATGATTACATCCCTTTAATCAAAGTACTTTTTCCCCCAATTCATGCTCCAACTCAAGCCAATCATTTATTTATGGGTTCTATGTTGAGAAAAGTTGACGAATGAGGTTAAGTTCAGATCATGAAAGATGAAAAATGGCAAATTCAAAAGCATTCATTCCCCTACTATATATATCCTACATATATAGTCTTTTTATCATGGTGCATCTTTTTCACATTTAAGAAATGTCAGGAATCTTGGTTTACTAATTGGTAGAATACGAGGCAATCCAAAAATTTATTGCATGATATTCACAATGTAGAATATAACTAACCAGGAAAAACCATGTAAACTTTAAACAACCTTTGCTTCAGGGGAAGGAAGGTCTTTAATTTCTCAAAGGCTACCTGTAATAAGTCCTGAAGACTGAGACCACGCCCCTGATAACTTTTGGCAACATGGACTACCATGCGTAAATTTGCTTGAATCAGCTTTTCTCTGCTTCTGTTACCACTGTGAAGCTGTGCATGCAGCATTCGACAATTAAGTCCTGCACTCTCAGCCCATTCAGCAATAGTTGGTTCCCTTCCAAATTGAGATTGAAGCCTGGTCTTCAATTCTTCCAATCTCAATAAATCCTGTTACAAACTCCATGTTAATAGAGCATCCCATGTGTTTAAGTAAGGAATTCAGGAGAACTAGCAAAACACCTGTATCTGAGAAATCAGTTGAGATTCTTGTTCAAGTGTCAAAAGTTGTTTTGTTTCAGGACCCCACAAGAACAAGCGCAGGGTGTCATTTTGATCAAATTCTTCATTTATCTTCTTTTCTGCCCGTAGCCTTTCTTGTGCATCATCCTTTCTTGCAAGGTAGGTTTCATCATCTTTAACTTTTGACTTGGGTACCTTTCTTTGTTTTGATCTTCTCTCTAGAAGCCGTGTTGACCTCACAGTTTTATTTCTTCCAATTGAAGGGTCAGCCAAACTAGTAGAGGCCAGACTGAATGGGAGTTTTTAGTTTAGGCATTACACTCCAAACAAATTAACCTATAAACAGGAAAAATAAATTAAGGATGTCAGAGTTAGGCAAGAAGATAGAACTAACCCAAAAGGAATCGAATCATCATCAGCTTTCATTGATTTCAAGTCTTCAGCTACTGAGGATGCTCGTTTTGAGGTAGACAAAGCTTTCTTAGCAAAAGAAACTCCATTACATTGCACACCATCTGTATGCCTCTCCGATTCAACAGAAACAGGCTGTAAAGTTGAAGAAGCAGCAATTTCTTCTCTTTGTGAGGAATTTAATCTGCAATAGAGTTTATGCACCTTAAGGAGACAACTAAGGATGGGCATTGGACAAATTTTACTATAAGCAGTTACTAAATGTGATTAAATTGACATGGAAGAACAACTTTGTTTGTCTTACAAGTTCTGTAATTGAGGCCAGAGATGCAGTTGCTTCCTAAATTCAAGTACTACCTGATCAGCATTTCCAGTGTGATTCTCTTCATGAACAGTGGCAATATCCATCTGCCTTGTATTTAAAATTGCCTTGAGTAAAACATAAAGAAGATTCATTAGTACAGTGTCCATTATGTGATGAAGTAGGAAAAACCTATAAATCACAACCTAAGAAAAGAGTTAGTGCATCCATTCAAAATAGATAGCATCATTACATTTAACAGACTAAAAGTTGGCCTCAAAAGTTTTAATTCATTGATATTATAACAACAATGAACCCGCAATCAATTCTTATTGATTTGACAACAAAGTAAAAAAATATGAAGGATTTCATTGTACAGTTTAAAGAAGCCTAAATTTCATGAAGTCAGTGTATAAATAAATTTTGAACCTCTGATGTCTTGTCTTCCTTAGACATGTGCAAAAGAGGCCTGTATTCATCTCGCTGCTCTTGTAAAAGAACTGAGGCAGGAAAATTCTGTGCTGAAAAATTAGAAGACCAAGAGGCAACTGTAGGGGAAGCTTGTTCGCGAAGCATCAAAACTGCAAGTTTGAAAGCATTGAAATGTAACATATTTTCAACTCAGACTAATAACAGGTTGAGAAAAATACATATGCACAGTCAACACTACTTAGATAAAAGAGGAAAAATTGTGGAGACTAGGAGTAAACGAAAAAAACCCACAAATTAGCGAAAGTAATTCTTTAAGGATATGTTTGGTAGCAGAGTTTCAGAGAAAGAGAGAATGGAGGACAGATATTTTATGGTAGATTTGTTTTAAAAGTCATATTAACGTTGATTTTTTACTACTATAAAAGAAATTACACAGGCAATGCATAGAAAATAAACTCTTTTTTAAAAAAAATATCAAATTAGAGAATATTTATTAGACTCCCTCCTCCTCATTCATCCCCTTCCAAAACTCAACTCTCCAACAAACCCTAAGAACCTAGAAATTGAACCGAATTAAATTATGTTTTTTTCCTCAACATAATAGACCAGACAAAGACAGCACAAATAAAGGAATGCTGCGCGTGCACCAGCAGCATAGGGATGTAGAGAGCCTAAGAAACTAATTAGCTAACGAAATCTTAATAACATCGAAATTCATCCGTGAAAAGAATATACAATTCAAGTACATAACACACACAATACAGGTACCCAACGCAAAAAACAGCATTGAGTAGAACAGTGGAAGGATAAAGCTGAAAAATGAGCAATGTATCCCGACACATTACTGAATTTCCACCCACACCAGTTTTATCCTAACTCAAAAACATCTTGTGCTACAAAAATAACACCCACAACTATTTCTAAATCAAACAAGAGAACACCATGTAAATTCGGAAAAATAAAGTGCAGAACCAATTAAACATGTTATTACTAGATAGAAAGAAAGAAAAGGGAAGTGTAATTGAGTCATAATAACAGCACCGGAAGTGGAAGAAGATGGGGGAAGAGTGTGCCATTGGTGGGTTCTTGGAGGGAAGGGTGGAGACGAATAGAAGATGGTTCTTGCGAATTCCATAGCTGCTGAGGAGGAACAGCATAGTACATTAGAGTGATGAAAGGGTGGTAGAAGTAGGTTGCACTTGCAGCATGATCATTGTGCAGAGGAAATGCAAGTGTTGTTTCATTGCTACCATGGCGGGGTGGATATTTAGATAGAAACGGATAAAGCGGAAGGAAAAGACTTCGTAGCCTATTTCAGACCTCTGAATTTCTTTGTTTTTCCGACACTGGATTAGGTTGCTTTTTTTTTTATTTTTACATAATAATAAAAACAATAATATTGTATATGACTATGGTCAATTTTTGTTTGGGTTTGGGCCACCCTTTGTAATGTGGATGCTCATGGGCCCTGGCCCAGCTTCAATTGTATGTCTTTTGTGAGTGGGTGTGAACACCCATAGAAGGAAGTAGAGAAATAATATCGAAAGGAAGAGAAGGAAGAAAGCCCAAAGTGATTACATATTATTAGCCCAAAGTATTTTGAGTCGGTGTTTGAGGCCCATAACACTCAAAGTATACACACCAACATAATGGTGGACTCGGTAAAGAAGAAAGAAATAGAAGGAAGAGAAGAGAAAAACGAGAGAGAGAAGAGAAGAAAAGCTAAGTTTTTATTTTTGAGATTTTTTTCTACTGTTAAAACGTTATTTTCTATATTTTTCTCATTTCAATTTTATTTTATGGTTTAAAAAATAAATCAAATTATACTTTTAATCTCTCTATATCATCAAATTCAAATTTTTGATCCTTGTATTTTTAAATTCATAATTTTAGTCTCTCAATATTATAATTTTAAAATATAAAGTATAGTAATTAATATTTAATAATATTTAAGTTAAATTAATATTTAATACTTAAAGAAGAAAATAGTCACTTTTAATCTTCTTAAAAAAAATCATTTCTTTTAGCCTTTAATTAAAAATGTGTGAAATATGTGTATTGCTAAAAGTCCGTTTCAAACAACTTATGTTATTTTATAAAGTATAAAAAAAAATCATCAATTTAAATTATAATAATTATAATAAAATTTGAATCTAATATCTTACATATATTATTCTAATTTCTAATAACGATCTATTCAACACATATCTTCTAATATTAGACATTATGAACCTATTTATGAACTTATTTACATATAGTCTAAAAGAGTTTTTGAAATTTTTTTTATTAAAAATAAAAAGTACTTTTCAATAGAAAATTGAAAATCCTTTCAAACTTTATATCCAAATATGCTTAATAATTATTCCATTAAAAAGAACTATTAACCTACATAAAACATTATTTATGTTTTGTTTGTATAAAGAAATAAGTATGAAAAAAATAAGTGAGATAGAAAGATATAACTTATAAGAGAGAAGAGAGAATGAATAGAATATTGACAGATTTTTAAAGTGTTTAAATTGAAAGTAGAAGAGATAAAAAATAAAATGAAATGAAATAAAATAAAAAGAGAAGTTTTCTTTGTAAAGACATTTTTGTCTTTAATATATAATAGTGTGAAAAAAAATGTATAAAAAAAATAAAAAAATAAATAAAAGGTTAAACTTATAAATTTAAGTGGGAGCAACACTTTTTTCTATTTTCTTCAATGTTCGAAGAAGATATTTTATTTTAATGTGAGATCCAAACCGGAGTTTCTTTCTTCTGTAATTTAAAACAAACAACCTGAAATTATTTTTTCTTATCTCTTCTTATTTTCTCTCATTTCAACTTCTATTCAACTAGACAAAAGGGTTATACTTCCTTTCAAACATAAATCCAAAACAATAATATTATATACGTTTTCAAAAATGAAAGATTAAAAAAATTAGGGTTAAAAATAAAATTATTATTTTTATAAAAACTAAAAATATATTTAATTGAAAATAGATTTTCTAAGAATTACTGTACACTAAAAATTCATTGATAAAGATGGACTTTAAATTAAGAATTAAGAATCTCTAAACACAAAGGGAATAATAGGAATTAGGAAAGAGAATCCGTGAAGCAAAGTTTGCTATATGAATATGAGTCCATTCACAATTTCCAAAAGTGGTCAACATGTCAGTCACTCACCAAATTTGAGACAATCCACCTCAACTCTCACGTTCTCCCATTCCTCCCACCTATTCCTCACTTTAAAATATATGTTTTAAATATTTATTTATTTTAATTTATATGCATTTAATGATTTTAATAGGTTTTGTTTTGTTGTTACTGTACACAATGGTCGGGACGATGGAAATATATTGTTAATATAAATATTATGTATTTTTTATTTTGATTTTTAATCATTATTTTACTCGGTGTTTGTATATGCAATTCATATTTGTAATTAAATTATTTTCTTGGGAATCTTATTTTATGAATATGGTTTTCAAATTTATATAATTAATATATGACTTTTTATAAATTAAAAAACAGTGTTTACAATTAATTATCGTGTGGAATTTTAATAATTTTACATTCAATTAACTTGAGATAAATTATTTTTAAGAAAATTGCTATTTTCTTTTATCGAACATGTGAGTAACATATTTGTTTCCATACGCGTTAGGATGATACATTTATGTCGTAACTTGACTCGACACTTTAGTAGCCTTAGAGCATCTATAATGGGAGTTACTTATAAGTAACTCCCAACCATTTTAAATGGGTCTCATGTGTCACGTTATTCATAAGCAACTCATATTATATTTTTACAACTTTTGTTCCGATGAAAATTGCTTATAAGCACTTCACTTTTTTTACAACTCATATTACACTTTTTGACACCTCAATTTTTTTACAACTCATATTTTAATAATAAAAAAAATTACATAATAAAAAAATACAAAAAATTACAATCATAAAAATAAAATTATTAATAAAAAGAAATACCAAAAATTACAATAATAAAAAAAAATTACATAATAAAGAGAAATTACATAATAAAAAGAAATACCAAAAATTACAACAAAATTAAATATAAAAATTAAATACACACTAATTTTCGTTATTATGATGTCCAAATCGTTCCCAAATATGTTCCACCAAGTCGTGTTGTAGTTGTCGGTGTTGCTGTCTATCACGAAGATGTGCCCTCCTTTGTAAGTATGTTGCAGCAAAAATAGGATGAAGACCAATAGATATATCGGTAGTTGAGACTTCGTTACCACCATTATCATAATCAAAATTAATATTGTACGTGTGTCTTTCATCTTCAACTATCATGTTATGTAGTATGATGCATGCATACATGATATTCTTCAATGTATCAACACGCCAAGCACGTGCCAGTCCACGCACAATTGCAAATCGAGATTGCAATACTCCAAATGCTCGCTCTACATAAAGTTAGCTGCTTCCTTCGCTTCAGCCAATTTCTTAACTGCAGCACTTCTTTCTAACATTGCTTTTGTCATGTTATCCAACTCCTCTTTGTTGGAAGATGTTTCGCCAACCTTTTCTTTACTTTTTCTCTTCGCTGCTTTTTGACCTATTGGACGAGACATTGGTGTTCTTGGGTCATATTCTTCACAATCATTGGTTGCATCTGTGCTAGAAGACGTTGAGTATTGCCCAGATTTAGAAATCTTTGAACGTTTGGAAGAGCTCTCCATTGATTCAAATTTCCATTTTGGCTCATCTCTTAATAATAGCCATGCATGCTCAAAATTGAATTTTTCACCTACATCTTGTGAGTAAATTTTATATGCATTTGCCATGATGTCTTTTTCTGAGTTGCCACTTTTTTTTTATCACGAGCTTGTTTATAACATCCGACAAATAATTGAACAGTTTTATTAATTCAAAACCAACGACTTTTTAATTGACCTGGATTTCTTACTGGAAATTGATTGCGATTGTTGTTGTAATTCTCCTTGATTCTAATCCAGAAACTATTTCCAGTTTGATCAACTCCAACAATTGGATCCTTCAAAATGTTGAGCCATGATTGAAAAAGTAAATTATCCTCTTCGACATAAAAACTTACGCGTGATTTTTTTTAGTAGATATTTCTTCTCCTTGTTGCCCTCCAACATCAAGTGTGATGTTCTCTAGCCCTACTTGAGACTCGGATACGGAACCAATTGGTGAATTTGTTTCGGAAAAATTTGAAGGCCTAAAAAATATATTGGGATTGGTTGGTATTGGTGGTGGATACATAAAAAAAAATGGGGATTTGGAGAATTATTTGAATGTGGTGGTGGTGGTGGATACATAAAAAAATGGGGATTTGGAGAATTATCATTGGTTGAATGTGGTGGTGGTGGTGGGTATGTAAAAAATTGAGGATTTTGAGAATTTTCATCGGAAGGGGTTGGAGGTGGTGGTTGGTTTTGTAAAAAATTAAAATAACTTTGAAATTAAATTAATTGGGATCCATGTGCTAGAATATAAAAAAAATTACAAATGAAAAAAAATAAAATAATTTTTTTTATGTGAATAGTAAAAATTTTGAAAAAAAATTGTAAATTTAGACAATGAAATGCAAAAAAAACTGAACAATAAAGTGGATTTGAACTAGATAAGCTGAACAATAGAGTGCAAATAAATTAGATAAGGTGAAGAATAGAATGCAAATGAATTGAATATTGCACATGAATTTATACATGCAACTCCAACAGTTCTCTAACGGCTCTCCAACGCCTCTCCAACGGCTCTACAACGTTTATTTTTTTTTATTTACGTCTCTTCACTCTCTTCTCCCACCGCACTCTCTCTTCACTCTCTCTTCTCCCACCGCACTCTTTCTTCACTCTCTCTTCTCCCACCGCACTCTCTATTCATTCTCTCTTCTCCCACCACACTCTCTCTTCACTCTCTCTTCTCCGACCGGTGCGCGGAGGTGGTCTGGGCGGAGGGGTCGCGAGGGGTTCTAGGTCACATGCGGAGGGGTCAAGGGCGGAGGGGTTGCGGGGGCGGGTCTGGGTATATGGAGCCTCGCGCGCGGTGGTTCTGGCGCACGCGGTGGTTCTGGCGTTCGCGGTGGCACGCGGTGGTTGCGGTTCTGGCACTCACGGTGGCACGCGGTGGTTGCGGTTCTGGCGCTCGCGGTGGCACGCGATGGTTGCAGTGGTTCTGGCGCTCGTGGTGGTCCGTCGTGCGGAGGGTGTCGGAGGAGACGAAGATGAGCTGAATACGTTCTTTTCAATTTTTTTTATTTTCTTAAATCTGATCCATTTTCCAGGTAGATGCATTTTAGCCAATCAAATTTCTCTCCTCAATGCTAAGCAACGTCCCTTGTACAAGCAACATAGAAATTTTTTTAAGCAACTCAAGTGCCATGTAGGATCACTCCAATGGAAGTTTTTGATAAGCTCCGTTGCTTATTTTTAAGACACAGCACAAGCACCCTCCGCTGGAGGTGCTCTTAAAGCGTGTTTGTCTCCAGAAAGCTTCTTGAGTCCCCACAACCCTTGCATGAATCTCCTCAGCCACCATTTGCACCGTACCCTAGAGTAGGTACCCTTGAAAACAACCTTATTCCTCATTTGCCAAAGGGAGTCTAAGGTTACTCCAAAACCAACATGCAAAATACCACTAGCAACTTATGACCACACTACTTTAACCAATCAGCAATCCCATAAAACACGAAGGATAGTATCTGAGTAACTAGTATAAAAATAAATAATAAAAAAAATTATTTGTTATTCATATAATATAGAAAGTGACGCAATAACATACTTTTAAATATGTTAAAATATTTTATGATGGATGTTGACTTCCTTATTATAGAATGTTCTCTTTATGACAAGTAAGTCAACATTCGTCATAAAATGTGTTGATCAGACTTTGACTTCAACCTTTCTATGCTAGATGTTAACTTATCCATTATTGAAAAAAATTGTATAACTAGTAAATTGTTACCTACCATATAATGTTTTCTTATTACTTAAACTAATAGCGCGAACCCATTGTTTCGTCTTCTTTTTTGTTAAGACTACAAAGGTGATTCCAACAAGAAGTGTTTGTACATTGTTGAGGTAATTTTTGGCGAAACCTTCTATTCGTTCTTGTACTCTTCTCCTTTTCGTTCTCATTTTTGCAACTATTCGTTTGTTCTCGCGCTCCTAGATATCTTGTTCTCTTCTCTTTTTTTTGTGCATTTTGTGTATGGTGTATGTATTATTTGATGTTGCTGATTCGACGAGAGAGAAAGAGAGTGATGATAAAATGTGAAGAGATATGATAACGAGAAAGAAATAGCAGAGCGGTGACAAAATACGAAAAGATGTGATGAAAGGAAAAGAGCACAACCAAAAAACATTCATTAACCTAAAAAATAAAACTTTTATGTCGGTTATTTTTATGATCGATATAAAAAGTCAATACTTTATATACCGTCGAGATTTACGACAAGTCTAAAATCAACATAAAAAGTCATTTTTACCTATCATAAAAAGTGTCACGCACATTAGTGAGTACTCGTTATAGATAGGGCAAAGATATTTCAATTAGTTGATCATGCCTCCTCATATCCTAACTTCATTTGTTAATAAACTCTAGTGGACACATCTCCATAAGAAAGCTCGAATACAATTTAGACCTTGCCACTCTCACCATGTTGTAAAAGGATAATAATTGCTCCTTAACTCAATTGGATCTAGAAAATCATATGCACGTTTTAAAGAAAATTCTCCATTTGCCTCATTACTCCAAACCAATGCATCCTCATTAGCACTCAAACGAGGAAGAGGTTGACCAAATATTATCACATTCAAAGACACATTCAAACTAATAGGAGAAAAAAGATATAACTCTATTATTATATAATGTTAAGACAATGATTTTGAAAAAGACTGAACGGACCGATCTAATTAGTTCAATTGAAAATCAGTCTTTAATCGGTTCGGTTAATCTAAAAATCGTTTTGTAGTGAACCGATGAAAAACCAATCCAAAATCAATAAAAAAAAATTGGTTAAATTGGTTTGAACCAGTTAATTAAAAATTTAATTTATTTTTTTTATATTAAAAACATATATTTAATTAAAAAAAACTTATAAATTAGAATAACTTATTTCTAATACTTGTCTTATAAATATAATCTAATCATTTATGTTAACTTTTAATTTTAATATTTTTTTACAATTTACTTTATTTTAATTTGATACTTTTTGTTTAGATGTAAACTTATTATTATTATTGAACATTATTATATTTTATAAAAATTTAAATATAAATATTATGTTATATTTAGTTTAGAATTTTATGAATAGACTAAATTTTAAATACTTATAAATAACGTAGTATTTTAATTTTTAGTATTATAAAATTATAATATTATATTTATTTTATTATAAAATTATAATATTATATTTATTTAATATTATTTTTATATTAATAATAATTATATTATTATTATTTCATTAATAGTGGTTTGATTATGGTTCAAATTGAATTGAATTAATATCTCGACTGATTTAATTATTGGTTTGGATTTAAAAACATTTGTTAAAACTAAATGGAGAAAATTAAAATTTTACCGAATATCATTTTTATGCTTTAGATAGAAGTATCATAAATTTTATACCAAAACACTGTTAATAAAAAAAAAGTTAAAAAATATAGGAAGATGTTAGTTTTATTATAAAAAAAACTGTAATACAACAATAAGTTTTGTTATAAAATATTATTAGAAATATAAATAAAAAAAAAAAAAAACCAAGAAATCTAAGTCAGTAGTACGTGAGTATCGTAAATCTTTTAATATTAAATTAGAAAATTATATTTTTAAAGATAAAAATAATAATAATAAATGAGTGTTTTTTTTTCTTGCAGTATATTATTTATGAGGAGACAATAAGAGTATAATGGTCCATTTTGGGTTGTAGTGTGAGGGACATAGGAGAATGGAGATTTGAAAACTCAAAAGAGAAGGCCCACTCACCTCACTAGTCACTATCACTATTACTATATAACCCCTCACTCTCTCTCCCTTAGTGGGGTCAATTTCAATACCTCAAATCAAATCAAAACCCTAAATCCCCAATTCTCCAAACCCTAAACCATCATGACCTCATCACAACTTGTCGTACACAACATTTCTCACTCCGACACTAAACCCTCCGCCGCCGTCGCCAAGAGACCTTCCTCCGCCGCCGCCCGCTCCTCCAAGGACCGCCACACCAAGGTCAACGGCCGCGGCCGCCGCGTCCGCATGCCGCCGCTCTGCGCCGCCCGCATATTCCAGCTCACGCGCGAGCTCGGCCACCGTTCCGACGGCGAGACCATTGAGTGGCTCCTCCGCCACGCCGAGCCCTCCATCATTGCCGCCACCGGCACCGGCACCGTCCCCGCCGCCCCTGTCTCCTCCGTCGCCGCCTCCGCTCCCTCCGCCGAGCCCTCCGTCGCGTGCCCCCTCACCGCTGTCGCCGCCCATGGGATGTTCGCCGTGCCTCCGCCGCAGCCGAGCTGCCGCCTCGACCTGTGCCCGCCGCCGGTGATGGAGTTCGCGGCGGCGAACGGGTACCGGCACATGCCGTTCACGGCGCTGCTCTTGCAGCCCACGGCGGCGGAGGATAATCAAAACGACGAGTCTCTCAGCGAACAATGATAACGCTTCGAACCATAGAAGTTTTTTTTTTATTATTAATTTTTTAATTTTGATTTATTGATTTTAGGGTTAGTTTTGGAGTTGCGTGAATGTAGGTGTGTTTGGTTAGAGTTACAAGATTCAAGAAATGGGTTTGTTCTGTGATGGAAAGAAAAGGGCGAAATAGTTTTGTAAATTATTATAAATGGTATGAATGTGAATTATTGGCAGTTTAATGTGTACAAATTTTGGACCCACCCTTCGAAGAATATTCCATTTGGGAGTAGAAGGTAGCATTTTTTTCATCGTGTCAAAACGCAAATGAATGTTCTATGATGTTGGCAAATGTCATTATGGGGTGTTTGGTTTGGCCTATTGCAAGATTTCAGTCACTAATGAAACCAACACGCTAGCTTCTACATAATTTGGATTTTCATGTGATTTTTAAGTAATTAACCGACCACAGCTCATAAATGTGTAATTTTTAAATAGTTTCTGTAAGAATTAATAAATATTTAATATCTGGGGATTTTTTTTTATTAGATGCATTGACTGTTTTCTCTTTAGTTTATAAAACTAGTATTTTAATTTAATTAATGTTTATTTTATAAAATTTAATTTATAATAAATAAATATTTTTAAATATATAATTAATATCATAATGAATAAGTGTTTTCAAAGTATAAATTATATTTTAATTTTATAATAAATAATCTATATTCTAATGTTAGGTTATTTGAATTAGTATTTTAACATTACAATAAATCAGATAAATATTTATTTTATATAATTAAATTTATATTAAATAAATAAATTATATTACAATGAAAACTTTTGATGAATAAATATTTGTCTAAATTGTATTTTTAGTTCCTCTATTTTATCAATTTGTAATTTTAGTCCATCTATTTTAAAATAGAGACATCTAGTTTCTTAGTTTTAAAAATATAAAAATTTGATTTTTCAATCAAATTGAAATTAGTTGATTAGGAAGTTAACATTTATGCATATGTATAACATACAATAAAATGACATTTGAAGATCAAAAAACTAGAAAGAAACTATTCAAATAAGTTTTATTAACAAAATAAATGCCAATCACTTTAAAATAAATTCAAATAAAGATCTTTTATATGATATTTTTTAATTTTTTTATTCATACATGCCATGTTATTATATATTTTAAAATAAAGAAGTCAAAACTGATCGATAAAAATAAAAGAATTAAAAGTGTAATTTAGTCTAAATATCTTGTATTATATAAATTATATTTTAGATTTATATAAATAATTTGTTATGATATAATATTGTTTTAATTATTGATAATTTAATTTAAAAATTATTAAAATTTAGTTTAAAATAAAGCTAAAAATGATTAACTAAAAGATATAAGACACAAATAATATATAATTATATACTTTGATGATAATAATAATAATAATAATAATAATAATAATAATAATAATAATAATAATAATAATAATAATAAGTGTGAAGAAATGAAATCGAGATAGAAATGATGAAAAGAAGACATCTTCTCCTCAACTAAAAAGAAGTGGGGAAAAATCAATGAAAGTGGTACGAGGAAATGAACACAACAAGAATTGATGAAAATATAACTTGTTTACATTAATAAAAAACTGAACAGAAATAACTATAATTTTACAATTCACTAAATAAATATGTATTTTATATATTTAAAATTTTAAAAAAATAAATATTTTTTAAATATATAAGTTATATTATAATTAAAATTAAAAATAATAATTTTAAATATTTGATAGGCACTTACCAAGGTCTAATTCTTTAAAATATGACTTTCAATTTATGAAAGGCCCAATAAGAGAAAGAAGACCAAAAAGAGTTAAAAATAATATATTGAAGAGTCCAACCAGCCCAACACTAGCTACTAAAGATGCTATAGTGAGCTGAATATTATTTGGATGGTTTACTTAGCTTTTGGACTTAAAAGTTATTTAAGCCTTTTTTTTCTTATTTTATTGTAATTTTTTTATTTATTTTTATTAAAATAAAGCAAATGGTTTTCCATGTCTTTTAGGCTACTTAGTGGAAAATAAATGCAGTGGAAATTTATTGCCTAGTGGAACTTAGTGGAAATTTACTACATGTAAGTGATAGGTTGCTGATCTTAGCCTATAAATAGGAGCATCTTGTAAGCATCCAAAGTGGATTGAATATTAATATATTTTGAGTTTCTCATTTGTGAGAGCTTTTTCCTTTGTTCTTGGATAAGAACTTGATAGTTTTGGTTCTACCCGAAGGTTGCGGTCAAGGTCACGCTTCTTTATTTGATAACTTTGGTTCTACGCGGTTAGGGTCAAGTTTCTTTTCTTTCCTATACCTGTTACAAGATGATCCATTCATGTTTCAAAATCTTATCAATATTTTAATTATATTTTATATCTATAATAAATAATTTATATTATGACAAATAAGATTATTTTTATTTATTGATAATTTATTTAAAAAATATTTAAATTTAATTTAAAAATAAAAGATAAAATAAAAACAAGAGGTTGAACAAAATATCTTAAAATGCTTTCATAATTTTTTTTAAATAGGTCTTTAAAAATATTGTAATACTATGTTGTGAGTTATATGTTTATTTTAAATTTTAATATTTAATTGATATATGTTGATGTGAATTTTTTTTTTGAACTCTAATGATTTAAGAATTCTTAAGAGTTAGTTATTTTGTGTTGAACTCAAAGTTAATCTAAAACAAAGAGAAAGTACACAAGATTATTTAAGAACTTAAACTTCATAAGTTTATTTCTAAGTTTTAGAGAGGTTTTTGAGAGATAAGTTTTGGAGTCAAATGAGTCCTTTTCTTCTTCTAACTTCATAAAAGTGTCCTAAAGCAATGTTACACTAGTTGAGTAGAGATTCAAAGATGAAAAGCTAAGAATTAGAGGGAGAAGCCATCATATGAGAGTTCAAGAGTTCTTAGATTTTCTTCCATTCTTTTTTCTTTCAAGAGTAATTAAATTAAGGGAAGCTTGTTGTTTGATTCTTTGAAGTTTTTGCATGTTGCATTTGTTGTTGATTTTTCCACTGGTGGCTTAATTTATTGTTTTTGAGGTAGTTGTTGAAGATGGTAAAGTTGAGGTTTTGGGGTTGATGAACCAAAAGCTAAAATTGATGATTTCTTGATGCATTTATGTTGCATGTTGAATCTAATGTTGAATTTGTGTTATATAAGTTGTTTAGAATCATTTCCATGTTTTGGATTTCAATTTTTAAACTTGCGGATGAGTTGATGAGGCATGAGATCCAAAAATGGTGAAGTTGTATGTAGGGTCAACACAATTTCTCTAGGCCAATTTTTCATGGCCAAAAAAATTGGGGTAGAGACCATTCTAAAACCAATTTGAATGGGTCAAATTTCCTTGACTAGACAAAATTGGGATAGATTTACCTGAAGGGTATTTCAAGTCAATTATTTTAGTGGTCGGGTGAAAATAGGGAAAAAATCATTTTGAAGTCAAATTGGTTGGTCCAAATTAATTTGGCTAAAATTTTAGGGACTTACAAGATGTTTATGATTTTATCCATCAAGTTGCAAGTTGCAAGTTGACTAACTATGGAGCTATATAATATTATATCTTTTATGATTGATAAATACTATTGTAGGATGTTGAAGCTAAGTATGTTGAGTTGCATAAGTTGAATTGAATAATATTCCAAGTGTTGTATAAATTGTGTTGAATAAGTAGAGATCTTCTCTTAAGTTGAGCTATGTTTTGAAGTGTATGATACATGTTGTTGAGATGTGTTGTGAACTTAGGACTAGAGGAGAGAGTGTTTGTTTTGAAAGTTGAAATATCCCATTGTGTGACTATATGTTGTGGTGCTCTAAGAGTCTATTGTTGAAAACCCTTCTTGAGATAGTTGACCCTTAAAATGGAGTGTTGTATCTCCTATACTGGTTTAGAAGTCACCAAATTGAATATGGTATCAAGTCAAGGGATAAAGCCCTTAACTAATTGTTGGAAAAGTGCATAGAATTTAGAGGGTAGTCAATAGGTTAATTCCATATAAGCTTAGTTGATGCATACTAATATCATGTTATACCCACATCCAAGTTGTTCTATTCCTTATAGTAATACTGGACTTTCCTAGTCTAAGTTGGAGATTTCTTTGGGTAGAAACCCAGTTTGACCCTAGATGAGAGGCATTTAAGATTTTCATTTAGAATTGAGTCTCATAATTTCATTTCTTCAAAAATTTAGAGAGAGGAATTCTTGAGAAAAAGTGTTTTGGTCCATGAGTCTCGTATTTTTCTCAATCTTCTCTTATAGAGTGATTCTTCTCCGCTAATCCCATGTAAATTGTGTTGTTTATGGATTCAAGTTTGTAGGAGCTTGAATTGTGTGGTTGTGAATTCGTATGAAGTTGCTTCCTTTTTTCCCCCTTTTCTTCATCTTTGATTTGATCTTGAGATAAGGGAAGTTAGATGAGATCTTTGATGATTGTTGAATTTGTATGCTGATGGATTTCTCCTTAATTCGTGTTGCTTAGATGATAAATGTTGGGAATGTTTTTGGCATGTAGGCATGGTTTTGAAAATTGTGTTGATTAACTTAAGACTAAAGGAGAGACTATTTTGAAAGTATATCTCATTGTGCGGATATTGTATAAAAAAATTTATGAAACCCTTATTGAGTAAAGTATAAATCGAAAGTTAACCTTTATCGGAAAGTTAACCCTTGAAGAGGATAGATGAGTCTTCTTTAGGACCCTAGTTGGTACCATGTGGGAAAGGTTGAGACACATGTGTATAAAACGACCAATTGAGTAAAGTATGAAATCGAAAACTTAATTCCTAACTAAGTATTAGAGAAGCGTAGTATTTGGAGGATAGTCGGTCGACTAATTCCATAGGAGGGTTAGTTGAGCTAGCTAATGTCATAGTAGGTTCATACTCAAGTTATTTTACCCTGATAATAGTACTAGACTTCCTTATTTAAGCGATGACATCCAAGAAACTATTATGTGTTATGGATTGATATCCAAATTTGGTTGTTGACCTAGTTGGATTGAAAAGGTCTCCTGTGTTGTTGGTTCAATAGGGGTCAAACCACTTAGACTACTCACATGTATTGTATGAGATCACCTAGTTGAAATGCATAACAACACATATAGTTGTTGTGTTGTGCATATAATATGTTGCTTAAACTGTTTTGTTCATAGGCAATATTGATCTATAATGAAATATATTGATG